AATTTCTTCATATTTAAGTGACTTCACACAAGATATTGTCTTATGTCACAATGAAATGTCTCTCTTATAAAGCTTTTTAAAAATTGGTATCCTCAGACTCCTAACTCTAGAGAACAATCTGATGGTTACCACTGGGGAGGTGGGTGGGGGATGGCTGAAATAGGTGTTGGGTATTAAGGAGTACACTTGTTGTGATGAGAACCGAGTGATATATGGAAGTACTGAGTCACTATACTATACACCTTAATATAACAATATTACACTCTTTGCTAAATAACTGGAATTTAAATAAAAACTTTAAAAAATGGTATCTTCAAGTAGAGTATTAGGAGTTATTAAAAATAATATATGACTATTTTTCACAGATCTAGATTAATTTGGGGATTAATTTTTTCTAAAATTTGGAGACATTTGAAATTTTGTATTTTTGTTATGGCACAAAATGCTGACCTCATTAGTTCCAGTTCCACTACTGATATATGTGTGGCCTCTTTATCTTTTTAAACTTCTTTGGTTGCAGAAACTGCTTTTTAAAAATCATCACATTTCAGACATTTGGTAAGTTATTACTGGTTCATTTGGAAGCTGAAGCATGTAAATTTTTAACCATTTTCAATTTTTTCAAAGCAAGCAAAATTGACCAAGCAAAATGTACAAAACCCCATATTCTCCAAAAAGTAAAATTATGTATTATTATTACACCAAGGTTTAGAAATAGGATCTAACAAGCAATCAAAACCATTTAACATTAACCTTAAAACGTGATATTGTATTTATCCTCTCACCCCCAAATTCCAAACCATTCCATAGGTAGTTATTTGTTGTGCACAAAACCAAGAGGTGTAAAAGTGTATTGAGAGTAGACTTATTCATCCAACAACACAATGGGAAACAAATATCACCCCAAGGATCAGTTTCTAGAAGAATAAATAGCAATGATTTCTATACATCCACATAGCGGAATATTCGGTAGGTGTGAAAATAAATAAACTACAGCTCTAAACATCAGTATATATTAAGGTCACAGAGAATGTAGAAAGAAAGCCATGTAAGATACATACAGTTTTTTTTCTTTGCATAAATTGTCAAGATATCCAAAACTATACATGAGCATACACATTGTTATGCATGTGGAATTCTCGAGGAAGATAGGGAATCATAAATAGAAAATTCGGTTAGGTGACTTCCTCTGGTGTATGTGGGAGGAAGGAGTGAGAAAGGTATGACCTGGGAAGGGTGAGGATGGGGAGTTGGCTACATGATACCAACGGTTAGCCAGTTGCATGGACTTTCTTGGGTGTTTACAACAATATTGGTAACGTTTTATTATTTACTGGAATGTGACTACAGAAGTGTTTGTCTTTAGACCTAAATATAGATTATATTTATCCTTTTTTTGGGTGTATGGCATTTCCTATCTATCTTACACCATTCACCAAATAATCAACTCAAAACTGATTAAAAACTTAAAACGTAACACTTGAAACTATATAACTCCCAGAAGAAAACATAAGGGATAAAATCTTCATGACATTGGTCTTGGTAATGATTTCATGGGTATGATACCAAAAGTATAGGCAATAAAACAAAGGTGAGTGAGACTACTTCAACAAAACAGTTTTTGTACAACAAAGGAAACTATCAATAGAGTGAAAAGACAACTTATATTTGTCAACCATATATCTGGTAAGGTGTTAGTTTCCAAAATAGAAAAGGAACTCCTTCAACTCAATGGCAAAAAGCAAATAACCAGATTTAAAAATGGCCAAAGCACTGGAGATAACAAATGTTGGAGAAGATGCAGAGACATTGGAACTCGTGTATGCTGTTAGTGCTAGGGTCTGAATGTGTCCTTCCCAAATTCATGTGTTGAAATCCTAACTCCCAAAGGTGATGATATTCATGGGGTCTTTGGGAGGTGCTTCAGTAATGCAGGTGAAACCTCATGAATGGAATTAATACCTTACAAGAGAGGCTCCTGAGAGAACCCTAGCCCCCTTCCCCAGGTGAGGGCACAGCGAGAAGAAACAGGAAGAGAACATTCATCAGAATGCAACCATACTGGTACCTTGACTTCAGACTTCTCAGCCTCCAGAACTGTTCATTTTTTTTTGTTGTTATAAGCTACTCAGTTGTGGCATTTTGTTATAAGCAACCCAAATGGACTAAGATAATTGGTGAGAATGTAAAGTGGTGCAGCTACTATGGAAAACAGAATGAAGGTTCCTCAAAAAGTTGAAGATAGATCTGTATGATCAAGAAATTCTACTCCTAAGAAAACAACCCCAAGATTGAAATAAGGATCTTAAAGAGTTATCTGCACTCCTGTGTTCATTACGGCATTATTCACAATAATCAAAATATGGAAACAAGCCAAATGTCTGTCAACGGACAAAATGATGAAGGAAAGTGGTATGCACATACAATGGAATTTAATTCAACCTTAAAATTAAAGGGAATGCTACCATTTGCCATAACGTGGATGGACCTGGGAGATGTTATGCGAATTGAAATAAGTTAGTCACAGAAGAACAAATACTGGCATGATTTCTCCTGTTTGGGTTATCTAAAGTAGTCAAACTTATAGTAGCAGAAAATAAAATGGTGGTTGCCAGGGGACTGAGGGAGGGAGAAGAGGGAAAACTGTTGCTCAGTAACTATAATAAAGTTATAGTTACACAAGATGAAAAAGTTCTAGATATCTGCTGTGAAATTTAGTGTCTTCGGTAACAACATGGTGCTGTGCACTGAATTTGTCAAGAAGATTATATACCCAGAAATGGGATTGCTCCAATATATGGTAATTGTATTTTTAATTTTTTGAGGAACCCCCATACTATTTTTCATAATGACCATACCAATTTGCATTCCCACCAATAGTGCACAAGCGTTCCATTTTACTCCACAGCGTTGCCAACACTTGCTATCTCTTGTGTTTTTGAAGACAGCCCTTCTGACAGGTATGCAGTAACACCTCATTGTGGTTTTGATTTGCATTACCCTGATGATGAGTGATGTTGAGCAGCTTCTTATGTATCTGTTGGCCATTTGTATGTTTTCTTTGGAAAAATGTCTATTCAGTTCCTCTGCCCATTTTCTTGAAAGATTTTATTTATTTATTTGTCAGAGAGAGAGCACAAGCAGGGGGAATGGCAGGCAGAGGGAGAAGCAGGTTCCCCACTGAGCAAGGAGTCCGATGTGGGACTTGATACCAGGACTCTGGGATCATGATCTGAGCTGAAGCCAGATGCTTAACCAACTGAGCCACCCAGGCATCCCTCCTCTGCCCATTTTTTAATCAGATGCTTGTAGGATTTTCGGTTTTTGCTATTGAGTTGTATGAGTTCTTTTTATATTTTAGAAATTAATGCCTTATCAGATATAAAATTTTTAAATATTTTCTCCCATTCTGTAGCATTATTCATGATAGCCAAGATACAAAAACAACTTAAGTGTCTGTCAATGGATGAATAGATAAAGATGTGGTGTGTTTTTATATGCAGTGGAACATCATTCAACCATGAGAAAGAGGAAATCCTGTCGTATGTGAGAACATGGATGGACCTTGAGGGCATTGTGCTAAGTATAAGCCAGATAGAGAAAGACAAATACTGTGTATCACTTATATATGGAATCTAAAAACAAAAACAAAAAACCCCTCATACTCATAAAAATAGAGAAGAGAATGGTAGTTATCAGGGGCTAGGGAGTGGGGAAAATGGAGAGATGTTAGTCAAAGGGTACAAACTTTCTGTTATAAGATGAGTAAGTTCCAAGACATTTCTGCAAAGAAGACATCCAAATAGCCAACAGACACATGAAAACATGTACAACATCACTTGGCATCAGGGAAATACAAATCAAAACTTCAATGAGATACCACCTCACACCAGTCAGAATGGCTAAAATGAACAAGTCAGGAAACGACAGATGTTGGCAGGGATGTGGAAAAAGGGGAACCCTCCTACACTGTTGGTGGGAATGCCAGCTGGTGCAGCCCCTCTGGAAAACAGTATGGAGGTTCCTCAAAAAGTTGCAAATAGAGCTACCCTATGACCAAGCAATTGCACTACTGGGTATTTACCCCAAAGAAACAAATGTAGTGATCCGAAGGGGCACATGCACCCCAATGTTTATAGCAGCAATGTCCACAATAGCCAAACTATGGAAAGAGCCTAGATGTCCATTAACAAATGAATGGATAAAGAAGATGGGATACACACACACACACACACACACACACACACACAATGGAATATTATGCAGCCATCAAAAAAATAAAATTGTGCCTTTTGCAACTACATGGATGGAACTAGAGGGTATTATGCTTAGCGAAATAAGTCAATCAGAGAAAGGCAATGATCATATAATCTCACTGATGTGAGGAATTTGAGAAACAAGACAGAGGATCATAGGGGAAGGGATGGAAAAATGAAACAAAATGAAACCAGAGAGTGCAACAAACCATGAGAGACTCTTAATCTCAAGAAACAAATTGAGGGTTGCTAGAATAGAGGGTGTTGGGAAGGATAGGGTGGCTGGGTGATGGACATTGGGAGGGTATGTGCTATGGTGAGCGCTGTGAATTGTGTAAGACTGATGAATCACAGACCTACACCCCTGAAACAAATACATTATATTTTTAAAAAAGATGAGTAAGTTCCAGAGATTTAATGTACAGCATGGTTAATGCTACTTATTATACACTTGAAAGTTGTTAAGAGAGTGGATCTTAAATGTTCTCACCACAAAAAAGATAAAGGTAATTATGTGATGGGATGAAGGTTAGCTAATACTATGGTAGTAATCATTTTACAATATAAAAGTGTATCAAATCAACACATTGCACAACTTAAAGTTAACAATGATACATATTAATTATATTTCAATAAAGCTGGAATATATATATATATATATATATATATATATATATATATATATAAATACATATCTATGCACCTTGTGCCAGTATAAAATGAACTGTGTGATCTTGTCCTCAGGGATCATCCAGTCTGGGACCTCGTTGTCAGCTATGTCAAGGACACTCTGTTAGCACCCTGGATTCCTTCATGCATCATCCTTCCCTCCACAGACCATGCCAGATGCGAACACTGAATTGGCTACAACACATGCATTGCAGGATGTTGAGGACCACTTCTCCTATGGTCCTAATGCTTTGTAAGTCTTTCCTAATCTAATAGGACACTAAGTAGGAGTTTTCTTATTGATAACCAAGGCCAAGGGGAAGATGAAAAGTCACCAGGACCATACATTCTAATGAAAAACAACAGACTCCCCTACACTAATGGCATACTAAGAAGCAACCAAAGGGGCTCTGCTACCAGAAACCACTGGCTAGCCTGCAGACTTACTTCCCAGACTCCCCTACACTAATGGCATACTAAGAAGCAACCAAAGGGGCTCTGCTACCAGAAACCACTGGCTAGCCTGCAGACTTACTTCCCAGAGTGGAGAAAGATTCTGGAATATCACTGGCTTTCTAAGGAGCACCGTGTCTAGGTGAGAATCCCTCCAACTCTGCTGTGGAGGCAGGAACTCAGAGAAGGAGAGAACTGCATGAAGGGAAGATTGCATTCTCTGCCCTACACCCCCGCCACCCCTGCGACTCTCCCACACGCTGTAGAGTGGGTGGGGTTGATGGGTTTCACAGCTTCACAAGTGAATGAGATAGTTCCCTAAATCTGTCACTGAAATTTATATTTCTAGGTATGAAGGGAAAGAAATGTGATTTAACCTATGGACCCTTTGAGGTCAAGCGTAATTTCTTTCCTATACGTTTCTAGACATCAATTTTTTAAAAGTGACACCATGAGAAAGTCATTTTAAATTAGATGGTCTATATTAAATAGCTATAAATTTTAAAATGTTGGTTTTCAGGTGAGATCAAATAGTTGGTTACTTCCAGCAAAAGCATCAACTGTTTTTTTAAATGGAAATTTCTAATTTAGTTTTTAAATTAAATTTTATATGGTAAAATTCATTGTTCCTGGTATACCATTCTGAGTTTTGACAAATACACATAGTCATGTAACCATCAAAATCAAGATGCAAAACCATTCTGTGACCATCCCCACATTCCTTTGTGCTGCCCTGAGGAATTTTCTTTATGGCACGTAAGATACTGCCTGTTTTCTGACAAGGCAATTTGCTTTAAAGACAAACTCAGGCTTATGTACAGTTGGCAAGTGAAGCAAAATATCCCATAGACAGTCTCAATGATTCAGAAGAAAGTAATATCTTTGACTTTATTAGTTTGGATAATGATGTATGCCTTCACATAAGAGGTGCTCTAAGCATGTCTTTCTTTGAATTCTTCAAGGATAAAGTTCATTGGCTGACCATGGTTTACTTTCCTTTTTTTTTTTAAGATTTTGTTTATTTTTTTGAGAGAGAGAAAGAGAGCACAAGCAGAGGGAGGGGCTGAGGGAGAGGGAGAAGCAGACTCCATCCCAGGACACTGAGATCATGACCTGAGCTGAAGGCAGACGCCTAACTGACTGAGCCACCCAGGTGCCCCTGACCACAGTTTTTCGACTGTACCCAACTACAAGATGTGATTACCAAACCTGCCCCTGATGATCAGGTTTATAATTTCCTTCATTTCCCGGATATTGGGAATTGCCCGCTTCTACAGAATCCCATGGTCAATTCTCCTGCCTATATTGATCTCCATATATTTGATATTTTGCCTCCAGAACCTAACAGGATCTCCTAAACACTATAAATTTTGGAATATTGGAGAGGAGACATAAATAAGCATGTAGTCAGCATTTTCCAGCAGGAGTTAATATTCAGAGCTTCTAAATGGACACAATAGGCAGCATGTCAAAAGTTCAGACATCATCAGTTCAAATACATTGTTCCACTTGTATATGCCATGTGTGACAAGAGGTTCCATCACAGACTCATTTTGCAGAAGAGAAAATCACAATGAATTTTACTAATTAGTAAAGTATAATTTCTTCACACATTCAGGACTCACATAGGGAGGTAAACCATGTTTGTAGAAAAAAAATTGATAAAAGTAAAAAAAAATAGAAATTGTGGTTTCATTAACTTATAATTTTAACTTCATTCCCAAATGAAGAAATTCTGTAACTGAAAAAAATCATCCAATATACTTACTCTGTATGTGTGTATATATTTAGATGTGTGTGTGGAAACCTGAGTATTTCAGAAGACACTCATTTGATGAGGTGTGGAGAAACAGTCATGTTTGTAATCTATCTTTTTCATAGTAAAAGACTATAAAAGTGCCAGAAGTAATTTGCTCTTATCTATAAAATTTAAACTGCATATATTATTTGACTCAAAATGCAACTTCTAAAAGTCTAGATACAATTGAATGAGCATATAATGACCGGTACAATCATGTTCAATACAACATTGCTAGCAAAAGTATTTAATAACACCTTAAAAGGAATTGTGTATACTTATATGTGTTTATACTTATTATATATTATGATTATGTATACACTTATATGAAGATATGCCATTGACTGTTAAATGAAAAAAGATAGTTACAGAAAAATCTTTATTTATTCTTCTGTGCCTATTTTTATCTGTCCTTCCATCATGTGTCTATCTATATCTATCTATTATCTATAATCTTAAAGGTCAATATCTTCAAATCTTTCTCAGCTCTGTCTTCATAAGGCCTTCTTCTTTGTGTGTCTGCATCAAATTTCCTTCTGTCTCTCTTTTATAAAAATACTTGTGATGACATTTAGGGCTCGCCTAGATAATTTAGGTATATAGATATGTATAGATAGATATACACATATGTATATGTACTATGTGTAGTATACATATGTATACGACATAGTGTATAAACATATACTGTGCGTGTGTGTATATGTACATAAGCATATATGCATTTATATGTGTAGATGTAACATTAATACATATTATTACATATATAATATACATGTTATATGTGTTATTACATATCTAGATACATATACAGATATATACATGCATATAGATACACCATACATGGACACACATATATATATATACATAATGCATATACATCTATATATACACATATGTATATATTTGTGTGAGATTTTAGTATAGTTGTATATTAAATATCTGTACATTTATGCTTATATTCAACCATTTATGCATATTAGACATTTTCAAGGAAGATAGATATGCATTAAATAATACATACATTTAACATTCTCTTTCATGGTTAATTTAAAAACTTGTGACCTGTTGTGCAAAATAGGGAGTGTCTCCTGCTCTTAACCTCTGTTAATCAATACATGTAAGAGAACTTCAGTTTAATTTCTCCACAAATGTGCCAAAAGGATTTGCCTGCATGAATATCTCTGATGGTGTCTATGTAAATATTTCAAAGGACAAATGTAAACACAATAGTCACTTTATTATGATAAAGGAACATTTTTGGCACTTATCAGATTTTGTACCCTCCCACTAAGTTGGCATGGAACAGCGCTAGATTCAAGGATTCTTTTCTAAATCTTGGCTTTCTTCGCTGATTTGAAAAAAAAAAAAGGCAGGTTAGATTAGGATGACAAATATAAGTCTGACACACAACCTATGTACAGACTTTTAGTATTTTATCCTTAATATTTATGGCAAGCCTATGAGACAGAAATTATTCTCACATTTAAAATTAGGAAATTGTGGATTAAAAGGTCTGAATATTGTGTCAAGGTTACTCAGGGGTAGATGGGATTTGAATTTAGGACTTTCATCTGCCAAATCTCTTACCACTGAGCCAGACTGCAAAGCAGATTAGTTAAACAGCTCTGATTAAATCTCTTCCTACTTCAAACCCTGTAGGGTCTTCCACTTCACTTTGAGGTAAAGATCAAATTATCCGTCATACAATTCAGGGCACACGCTGTCCTCTAGCCCAGGTCCCCAAAGTGGGCCATTCCAATGCTCATCTAGGAAATTTTTTGAACATTTCAGGTTGTGAATTTGTACTATAGTTTTACAAGATGTTCCCATTAGGGGAAACTGGATAACAGGAACATGAGAACTCCCTGCATTAGTCCTTAAGGTTTTAAGAGAATCTCCATTGATCTCAAAATAAAAAGTTTAATACAAATCAAATCTCCAATTAAGTCCTGTGTGCTTCCGGCATTGCAAAATATGTGAGTCCAAGTTATAATTCCAATTACAATTCCCAAAACTCTTTCTTCTCTTCTTCTTTTGATTCTCCTTTTCTTCCCAATTCAATAGCTTGGAAAGATTTCACATCTCTTCTCTATCTTGGTTTCAAAGCACTATTACCACCTCTCCTCCCCATACTTCTGGAGACATCTGATCAAGCTACCCCAAATTTGCTGCTTAGAGATCTATTGATAATGCATTTGTGAAGCATCTCTCACAGCCATTTTAGAGCCTCTAGGCAGAACACAGAGTACCCCAGCATCTTATCTGCCATGAGCCATCTCACCCCCATAAGCTCCTCACCATCAGATCGATCAAGGAGATTCCTCAGCTGGGTGGAAATAGTTGAGAAGTAAAGTGAACTGAATAGGCACCATCTCTAGAGCTGTAGACCCCACTCTCCACTGTCTTCTCTGTGTCAGGTGGAAGGGACTCTGTGAAGGTAGCTGTGGTGTGGAGTTTGATGGGAGGACTGCTGTAGGTCAGTCCTTCCTGAAATAATGGTTTCTATTTTCTGATGCAGTCAAATGCTCTGATGAAAAACTTCAGATTCCAAAGCGCCTATTTCCATAAATGCAGCCTGGCTCCTTGTGGGCTGAGCCAAGGGTTGGGAGAGTAAACAGCTCCTACTTAAATATACACAGAGGACTTGTCTGGTGTTCCTTTCAAGTCCATATAAGGTCTTCTGTTACCATGTATGTCTTGTTGACACTGTGTGTTGGGGGAAGGAAAAAGGGAATAGTCCACACTAAGTAGGAATCTAGGAAAGTGGAAAAGCTTCTTCACCTATAAGAAAGTTTCATTTGGAAATGGGCAGATTGTCCCTGTGCTGTATGTTATAATGTCTCTATGGGTTTCTTCCACAGACTTGGTAAAATGTCTTTCTTCTTGACATGGATCAAAGCTATTTTTATCATTGCCTTGGCATTTCCTCATTATTCTGGTGAGTACATTTTTCAGTCCTGGATGAAGTATTTCCCATATCTTAGAAATGCAGCAAACAACTGCTATTATCTAGAAATGGAGGAGTTTGATTTATAGGATTTATAAATCTTAAACTGGCAAAATGAAACAGAGTATGTTAGAAATACCTTTTAAAATTGCATCAGTGGGTTGCCTAATCTCATTTTCCACCTTAGAGAGTTGGAGACAAAGATGTGGGTTAGGATGAGCAGTACTCAGAATGAACTTGTCTTTTTGTTCATCTATGACTAAAAATATTTACTTTTTTTTTTCCTTTTCGGAGTTCAGATTCCACGGTTGCTAAATGCAGAGTGTGGAAAGTAATGATGTCTTCTAGGTCTGACATCCTTGAAAATCTGATTTGTTGTTTGCCACCTCTGAGTCAAGGCATTGTATAAGGAAAGAATTCATTTATTCCTCTGCTAACAACCTTATGCTCCTTAAAGCCCAAGGTGGCCCATGAATTTCAGAATAAAGTACCTGTGAGGTAGTGGAGAGATCCCTGATATGAGACCTGAATATGAATTAATTAAATAATAATTAATTTCTTCATATTAAGTGACTTTTTGAGAGGCATATGAGTGACACTAAGCAAACCATTGTCTTTTCCAACTAAGATGTCTCATTTATAAAAATGGAAAAAAATCACAACTATAGTATCTTACAGGAGTGTTTTATTATTATTAAATAATACATAAGATAATTGTCACAGAAAGATTAATTTGGAATTATCTTTCTACATCTGAATTTATTTTGTGAACTTACTGTTTTGATACTGCTATAAAAGGCTCATCATTTGCAGGGTCCTCTTAGGCAATTTGCATAATATTTTGCTACTAAGAGATATGGGTACTTTTCACCAGAGACTGGGATGATTTTCCCCTCTTCCTCCTCTTATTTTTAATTTGTGTGTGTGGTCGTTGGTTGCAGAAACTTCTTTTGAACCTTTACCAGAAATTCGTCAAGTGGTAAGTTAATACTGATTACTTCAGGAATTGAAGTGGTAAGCCTTTAATTTTTTATATTGTAAGTTTTAACAGCAAATTTCCCTGTGTACAACAGAATGATCATTCAAAAGTAACAAACAGTTTTATTATTACGGTAAGTTCAAGAAACAGAATCTTGCCAGATGTACAAAGTCATTTGGCATTAAAGACAAGGTAAAAATATCCCATTACTAAAAAATTCCATTACTAGTTTCGCCTTGTTATAGACAAGTGTCTGTTATGGATTAAGGGGTGTTTAAAGTAGAATTGTTTGTTTATCTTAGCAAAACAAGGATTAAAAAAGCAACAACCCAATTTTTCACTAAACGGTAGATAAAATAATAATTGTCATACATTCACAGAGTCAATTATTACATAGAGGTGATGAAAATGAACTACAGTTCTAAACATGTGAATAGATAAAAGTTACAAAGACATTTAAAAAGCGGGTTATGTAAGAATACACACATTGTTTATTTATGTAAATAACCAACACTGTCATCATGAAGCAAATTACATACATATCTGTATGGTTATATACACATATGCAAACACTCATATATATGAATTCATACAAGTGTGGTAATAATCTGAAACTAACAGATTATATAGCAGTAAAACTACTGAGAAAGACAAGGGAGTTATTAAAAATTGTTTTATGATTTCTTGTGGTATGAAATATAGTTGACTCTTAAACTGCATGGGTCCACTTATACACAGACTGTTTTACAGGACAGTACAATCTTCCTTGTGATTTTTTTTTTAAAGATTTTATTTATTTATTTATTTGACAGAGAGAGAGACACAGCGAGAGAGGGAACACAAGCGGGGGAGTGGGAGAGGGAGAAGCAGGCTTCCTGAAGAGCAGGGAGCCCGATGTGGGACTGTATCCCAGGACCCTGGGACCATGACCTGAGCCAAAGGCAGACACTCAACAACTGAGCCATCCAGTCACCCCTTTCCTTATGATTTTCTTAATATTTTCTTTTCTCTAGGTTTTTTGTAAGAAAACCATACATAATACATATACAAAATATTTGTTAATTGACTGTTTATGTTGTCATAAAGCTTCTGGTCAACAGTAAGGTATTGGTATTTAAGTTTTGGGGGAGTCAAAAGTTATATGTGAATTTTCAACTGTAAGACCCTCACTGATCAAGGGTCAACTGAGGAAAATCTGACCCTAGTGTGAGGAGAAGTGGAGGCAGAGTGTCTAAATTATAAAAACACATTTAGCCATTTGTATGTCTTTTTTTAAAAAAATAATGTTGGGTTTGTAAAAATATACTAAAAATATTTTATGTGTAAGTGGACTATGGGTACCTTGATGCTTATTTTTAAACCTCAATATAGAATATATTTATTCCATTTTAATGCATGACACTTTGTATTAAGATAAGGGACATTTTATTTAAAAAGTTCATTACTTGATACATTTTATGTTGTCTCTTTCTGTTCAACAGCCAAGCTGTGATGTGTATATACATCAATCACATTTTTGCACAAGAGAAAAGGATCCAGTCTGTGCAACCAATGGCCAAACTTATTCCAATACATGTGTTTTCTGCAGTGAACAATTGTAAGAACACAAGACTAAATATGGCTTTTCCAAAATAATGAAGAAACCACCATAAAATGATAGGAAAACCCATGTTTTTGATAGCCGAGGCACAGTATATGCAGAAAATAACTACTCTCTCTGTAAAAGCCACAGAAACACACTTGTACCTTTCCCTGAAGTTCTCATTTCTAGAAGCAGTTTTATATTTGACCTCTCAAATATAACTTTGTGGATATTCTGAAAATGTATAAGTCAATTAGTTGAACTTAATTGAATTATTATGATTTACTAATGACAGTCTAGTCACTGATATAATTCCAAAGTCCAGATGATGAGTGGCAGTCTCCATGATGTAGCTGCAAGCTAACTTGGGCATTATTGAGCAAGAAACCCTACTAGCTACAGAACTCTGAAATCATCACACTGGGCCCATTCCTGCTCAGAAGAGCTCCTCTGATGCTCCGCTCTGTCTGTTGAACTCCATGACACACTCCAAAACTTTCTTAGAAGCAGGGCATTCTGGAACCTTCCATGTAAACTCTCTTCCTGTATCCTTCACTCAAGAGGAGTTGGCAGTCTTCAAGTTTGGTCAATTTTTCTGAGTCACCATTTTCTATCACAGATATTTCCTCTCCTTTAATCTGAAAATCTCTAATCCTCTCCTCTCTCAGGTCTGTGCAGTTTCCAAGATTGAATCCGGACACATTATCCCATTTTCAAATTCTCCTCATTGAGGAGCACTTAGTGCAATACCTAGAAATTTTAAGTGTTCTTTTAATAATTTCTTTCTCTTTTTCTTTCTTTACAGTGAAAGTGGTGGAGCATTTGAGTTTGGTTATTATGGTAGATGCTGATTTTGCCTGAGCTACACATCACTATGGCTTTTATTGTGATCTAGTTTTGTGGTAGATTCTACAACCAATTAGAACTTCCTCAGTCAGGGTTTTAAATTCCTAGATAACCAAAGACTTCTATGGTATTAAGATGGAATATCGGATGTTGAAGAATTTTCCTAAGACCCTATGAATGAAAGATTTTTCTTTTCTATGTTCAATTATTCAAAGACAATTGAAAAATTATCTTGTGTGTTTCTTAACATAAAATCTAATGCAATTTAAAATCATAAATATTTCAGTCAACACAATGTTCAATAATATTATCGTTTTAAAATACCCTTTCTTTGGTTGGTTAGTGGGTGAAAAGACATGAATACTTTTGGTAACTATAATAAAGAAATATTTTCAAAGGTGAACAAATAATACATTACTTGTGTATTTATTAAAAATACAGACACTTGGGCTCCTCTTTATCCTAAACAATCAAAACCTCTAGGAGAGGGATCTGGAAACTTGATTCTAAAATGTACTCCAGGTTAATCTTATGATTACACATGTCAGGCAATATGCACTTAAATTCTAAAACATGGGTCTGTCTATCATTGAATGACTTGGAGACTCTGTTCAAAGATATTGTAAGATTTCTGAGATTTGGAAGAAAAATTATATTATTTCCTTTTTCTCTCATGAATCAGTCAAGAGAAAAGTTGGTGATCCTGGGGTGCCAGGCAACTCCGCCTTCATCAAGGAAGTCTCTCCATTTGTGGTCCAAGTCCAGTGATTCTCCATTTCTTTCATCTCTCACACAACAAGAAACAAGCTTTGTTTGGGTGGTCATATGTCCATTTGAAGCTTGATTTTAATGGCAGAAATGAAGATTGATTACTAGAAGACAAGTATCAATCTGCTGCATTATCAGGCCTGCTCTCCTGTTCACTAAACACTTTCACCTCTAAAAGAGTGATCTATGTGGGAGTTACATATTCATTTACATGAAAGGACTGGCATTTAGATTTTTTATCCATTAGAATGTAGATATTAGAGTCGCATTATAAAAATGCATTCAGCCACTTTCATAGTCTTTTTCATTATAGAGGACATGTATAAAAAACATTCAGTGAATGCTGGTAAATTTATACATATATTGCTTTCCCTTTTATTTAACATATTTTTTAAAAAATCACTACTATATGTTAAGCCCTGTATTAATGGTAGGGAAAAGTTGCTAAGGAAAGCAGATACTACTACTGTCTTCTAGGAACTTCGGGTATACTACTGGAAGTTAGTATCCATCAGCGATGGGAATTCCACCTCTCTGCATGACTGTTTTCTACACAAGCTTTGTCATCCCTTCTGTTATGTAACTTAATTCTTAAAGGAATCTTATTAGATGAACATCAGCTCTATATTTTAGCCATAATGTAAGTGGGACACAGGAAACTGAACATTTAAAATCTGACACTTGGTAAGGAAAATACAGTGTTTTCTTGAATTGAGATAAAGTTCACAAAACTTAAAATTTGCCATTTTGAAGCATAAGATTACATATATTTTAGTATACATTCATTTACAGTGCTGTACAACCATAACTACTAATTCCAACACGTTTCCATCATCTACCCCCTCCTCCAAAAAACAAAAAACAACTACATACTTCCCAATTCCCCACCTATCAATTCCTGGCAGCCATTAAACTATTTTTTATCTCTATGAATTTGCCTATTTGGACACTTCACATACATGAAATCCTACAATATATGTATGATTTTCACATGAAAGTAAATTTACTCATCTATTTATCATATGTTGTCTTTTGTGAATGATTTCCTGCACTTGGCATGGTGTTTTCAAAGTTTAACCACATTGTAGCATGTATCAGTACTTCTTTCCTTTTTATGACTGAGGAATATTCCATCTTGTGGATATACCACATTTTGTTTATCCATCTGTCAGTTTATAGACATTTGGATTGTATCTACTTATTGGCTTTTATGAATAATGCAACTCTGAACATTCTTGTGCAAGTTTTGGTGTGACCATATGTTTTCATTTCTCATGGACACACACCTGCAAGTAGAATTTCATTTGATAACCATTTTTCACATTTTTCAGAAAATGACAAACTGTTTTCCATAGTGGGCACACCCTTTCACATTTCTAGCAGGATTTCTTGAAGGTTCCAATATCTCCACATTCTCACCCAAATCACAATTGTTTATTTTTTAAAAATTACATTCATCCTTGGGCACCTGGGTGGCTCAGCCAGTTAAGCGTCTGCCTTCAGCTCAGGTCATGATCCCAGAGTCCTGGGATGAAGTCCCACATCAGGCTCCCTGTTCCATGGGGAGCCTGTTTCGCCCTCTGCTTCTCTTTCTCATGAATAAATAATATCTTCTAAAAAATTATATTCACCCTATTAGATGTGCAGTAGTATTTAACTGTGGCTTGATCTGCATTTCCCTTATGATTAACAATGTTGAACACCTTTTCATGTGCTTATTGGACATTTGTGTATCTTCTTTGGAGAAATGTCTATTCAAATCCTTTGCCCATTTTTAAATTAGTTTTTTGTCTTTTTTAGTTTTGAGTTGGTATTGTTCTTTATATAGTCTAGAGAGTAGAGTAAGCACATTGACTTACAAATGTGGCTTTATTCCATTTTGGGGTTGTCTTTTTTTACTTTCTTGATACTGTCCTTTGATGCAACAATTTCTTTTTAATTTCATGAGTTCCAGTGTATTTATTTTTTCCTTTGTTGCTTGTGCTTTGGTGTTATATGTCAGAATTGCTACCTAATCACAGTTTGTGAAGATTTACAACTAGGCTTCCTTCTAAGAGTTTCATAGTACTAGTACTGGCATTTAGATTTTTTATCCATTTTGAATTAATTTTTATATATTGAATAAATTATGGGTACAGTTATACTTTTCCATGTGGTTATCCAGTTGTCACAGCACCATTTGTTGATAAGACTAATCGTTTGCCTTTTAATTTTCCTGGAACTCTTTTTTTAAATTATTTTTATTTTATTATGTTATGTTA